TTTTAAGGTAAGGCTTGGGTGAAACTGGAAAAGTCGGGCAAAAAACAGTGTTTTTTTAGTTTTAAATCTTCATGCGAGTGAAATCAAGAAAAAGCTCTCTATATTATTCTAAGTTAGTTTGTAGCGGTTCTTTTAACATGTAATAAGTCTATAGTTGGACATAACACTGTGCGCAAGAGCTATTTTGAAATTTCATTAAAAAAACTATAACTTCAAAATAGTTCTTGCGCACGGTGTTATGTCTAACTCGCCTAACTTATCATATGTTAAAAGATCCGCAACAAACTAACTTAGAATAATATAGAGAGCTTTTTCTTGATTTCACTAGCATGTAGATTTAAAACTAAAAAACACTGTTTTTCACCTGGCATTTTCAGTTTCACCCAAGCCTTACCTTAAGAATTTTGCCCCTGTGGCGTATGCAACCCGCAACGAGCAAACCATTGTAGGCGAGGCGGGTAATAACTCTTAAGAATGACCCACGGCCGCCTGTGGCTGTGCACCCCAAACCGGCACTGCTTAACAACGAAATTGTTAAGCGCAACCTACACAGCCCGTACGGTGCGCCCGTACCAGAGTTCTAACCCCCCTCCCCTTTCCCCTGACAGGTGAACACACACACACACACACACACACACATCTACCTGCAGTATTACAGCCATATGTTCATACGCATTCACGCACGTTTGCCGCGGAGAAGATTTTCAGACTAGTAGCCAGTTTTGGTGATATTTTACGCCTTACACTTAGGCAACCCGCTTAACGGGGCAAACCATGTTTACGCATACTGTATTAATCATTTCTGGAACCAATCCGCCCAAAACATGCTCGAAAAAATCATGTTTTACGTGCTTTCTGCATGTTGCCCCTGCCGAGTATGCAACCCCCGTACAGCGGTCCAGTCGCGGGTTCGAAGTGGGCACCACTTCGGAAAAGTATCCCCTGGGTATGTACTACAATACCCTCCAAACCGTTTTGCTCTACTACAAAATGCAAAATTTGGCTGTTTTTCGTCGCTTGTTTACCGGACTAGACTACGGAATGCAACAATAGATTGGATCTCCATTCCACTGGGTTTTATTAGGATGTCCCGTGGGAGGGAGGAGGAGGAGGAGGCAGGGGAGGGGAAGAGGTGCATTGCCCGCTGCGGCGTTTTACCATGTGGCAACGCAAGAGGAAAGACGGGTACGGCAGCAGAGGAGAGGGCGGAGCGGAGGAGAGAAAGGGGGCGGGGGCGGGCTGTCGCTGGCGCTGTCTGTGTGGCGCCACCTCACTCACACAGGCGCCGGGGACCCGTGTGGGACGGAGGGAAGGAGAGGAGAGGTCTGGAGACTGCCGCGTGAACAGAGTGCAGGGCCAACAGTGTTCTCCAGTCTATGCGAGTACAGCGGATGACGGACGAGCCTTGGGTGTAATAGAAATAGACTCAATGTATCAAGTTTCCATACCCTCTCTCCTCATTTAAGAGGTTCGGAGAGGACCAAATCACGATGGAAAGGAAAAATAATAGGGTTCCGCTGCAAGCCAAACTGAATCTCGATAAGAAAAGCATGACTGCTCGACCTATTTCCTTCTGAGCTACGCGAGTTCGTCATTACCGCATTGGTAGCTGCACAAAGTCTGGGCACAAATTAAGTATTTAAAACACGCTGCTCTGCATTAATATATTGTTTTAAAGGCTTCACCGAGGACGAATAGACATGTGATATAAGGTCCGGCCGCTCTGTGCCCCGTTGGAGCAGGTGCATATACTAGCCCGCAGTGGTGGTCGCGGGTGAGTTTGCCTATCGTCTCTAGCCATGGCGCCTGAGGGCGCCGTGCGAATGGGCAACCGGTCCGCACATTTCCATGCGGGCTAGTAACGCACGCACATGCCTCCAAAGGGGCAAGAAGGCCACCCTGTACCATACCTGTGGCTGCTCTCCCTTTTAGCTGGATATGAAATTTGTTCTTGACTATACGTGGTGGAGTCTAAGTCCGAATCAGACAACCTACAGGGGGTAGGGGGTCGTCGGGGGCGCTAATGATGAGCCAAAGAATAAAACGCGCCAATAAGCCAGTCGACGTCGGCGGCGGCGCCTCCTCGCTGTACGATGGAGCTCACCTCGGAACGCGGCGGGTAGGACCTAGGGGGAGACGGGAAGGAGAGAAAGAGGAGAGGGGCGGGGGGCGGGATGGAAGGGTCCAGAGGAAAACGAACGAGATCCGAACGAAGCCCGAATGCGACCAAGGGGAAGGAGGGGGTGGACGGCGGTTCGGCTCGGTCCGTCCGTCGCTTAGCGGCGGGGCGGGGCGGGGCGGCCAGGACGCGCTAGGTGGCGGGGTGCTGGCCGGGACATGATTGAGGGGGTGTCACTGCCTGCGAGCGCGGCACGGCGACGCACGCACGCGGCCACGCTCCGACTGGCCACTCATATACATATTATTTTTGCGAGTGTCTCTGCCGGTCTTGTTTGTTTTTCATTATTAATTTTTTTCCGGCCGCGCGCGTTCTCTCTTCGGTGTTCCGTCCTCTCTCGTGCCATTCCGCCCCGCGAATCCACCCCGCAGTGCGTCGCCATGCCGGGCGGTGCCCCCGGCGGTGCCGACCCCAGGTCCCGCTCCCGGGTGCTGCCCTGAGGCCCTAGGCTGCGATAGCTTCAGCCCTGGACCCGCCCCCACCCCGGCCCAGGAGGGTGCAGCCGGCGCAGCCCGGATCGCGTGAACGAAGTGAGCGCATACGGGTGCCAGGCCCGCCAGTGAACATGGGATTACATCAGTCTGCTTAAAGGAAGGACGACAACCGCCAAAAGAAAGGTGAGTAGTGAGTAGTGATAGTGGTCTTCGTCTAGTGTGGGACCAAAGAGTATTATTCCGAGTCCATCCCAACCATGTAGAACATTAACCTTCGTTGCCCAAAAAATACAGCTTGCCTATTCTCAGCATATTTCTGTACGTAATTATGACACCATTCATTCAACCCTCGCAGAATGTTTTCTGCTTCAACCTAAAAGAGCTGTCCACTTTCCTCTGCAAGGTTCACTCACGGCCATTCATTAACCGAGATTTTCCTCGTTTCAATATCCGAACGACATTGAGACTCGTTCGCAGAAGGAACGGCAAATGGTCGACGTAATTCACGCAGTCTTTAATATCAACGACGCGATTTAGTTGGCAGTACAAACAGATTGCCTTTGCGGCAACGGCGATGGTGTTCGTGTTGGGAACTAATCGAATCGTTAGGGCAACTTGAGTGGTAGTTCC